GTGGAAAGGAAGGCCCCGCAGCCGCAGCCGCGGCGGCCCGCCGACTGGCAACGGCGCGCCCAGGCCGCGGATCTCTGGGGGCCTGAACCAGCAGCGGGCAGCGTGGCGGCGCACGGGCGGATCCAGACATCCGGCTGCTTCAACTTTTTCGATGCGTGGACTCGGAGGTCTGGACCGCTTCTGTGGGACCGTTTCTCCGTCCTGAATCGGTTTTGGACGGTCCCAATACCCGGCGAAGGCCCTCGGAGGCTGCTAACATCCCAAAACCGCCCGCTCCAATTTGTTTTGAGCGTCGGATCTCTGGGGAGTGTGGGGGAGGGCGATCTGGACCGTCCTGCGGTGCTCTGGGGGCCGCCTTGGGGCTCCCTGGAGCAGCAAGGAGGCAAAAAGGGGAGGAGAACGAAGCGAGGCGAAGGCGCTGGAGTCGGGCACACAAATTTTAGGTCGGGCATGTCCTCCTACAGGCGGATTTTGAGCGACCAATGTAATCAACAAATACTCAACAAGCTCCTCCGCCCCACCCCTTCCCATCCCACCGTCGCCGCAGCCGCCGCCCCCCTCGTCCACATCGCCGCCGCTGCCGTCGGCGTCGCCGCTGACGCCCGCCGGTGTCGCCGCGGCCTGAAAGCATCGGCGGCGAAACTGCGGCGGTTCCCGGCGGCGGCGGCCGCCGGGATGGCGGACCCCGCCAAGGTGCGGCCGACCTGGGCGTGTGGCCACGGCCCACGCGAGAGGCGGCGAGGACGACGACGACGGATGTGCCCGAGTCACGTCTGGCCCTGGCCGTGGCGTGGCGGGGACCTCCCTGAAGACAACGCATGGACAACACTGCCCCACCCCGTGCCAGGTGACTTTCCAGCGGTGATTCGGAGAGGACAAGGAACGTCAGGCCAGGAGCCCTGCTGGACGACGAGGAGCGGGAGCAGGACTGGAAGTAGGAGGGGAGTCAAGTTGGCCAGGTCAAGCGAATCAGAAGGCCCCGTCCATCCCCACCCACCCTCTCACATATTATCCAAGCGATGGGCCGAACACTATGCGGTCGTGAGTGCCGCGTTGTGGGTAACGCTTTCGGTGGAGCTCCTTATGGGGCCACGAAGCGCTTGAGGAGTGTTCCGTTATGGGCGGGGGAGACGCATGTGACAGCGGCCACTGGGGTCTTCGGTGGAGCTCCCTATGGGGCCACGAAGAGAGCTGTATTGGGTGGGGCAGACGCATGCGAGCATTGCCACTGGGGCCTTCGGTGGGCCCCCCTGTGGGTCCACGAACCGCTGTGCTGGGCGGGGGGTCGCATGCAAACTTTGCCACTGGGGCCTTCGGTGGAGCTTCTTCTGGGTCCGTCGGGGGGACGCATGCGAACTTTGCCACTGGGGCCTTCGGTGGAGCTCCCTGTGGGGCCACGACGCGCTGTACTGGGTGGGGGGACGCATGCGAACTTTGCCACTGTTTCGGTGGGGCTTCCTGTCCTACGGGGCCACGAAGCGCTGTGCTGGGCGGGGGGGGGCGCATGCGAACTTTGCCGCGGAAGTCTTCGGGTAGCTTCCTCTGGGGCCACGAGAGACTGTACTGTGTGTGTGGGGGGGACGCATGCGAGCTTTGCCACTGGGGCCTTCGGGTGCGCTCCCTATGGGGCCACAAAGCGTGTGCGGGGTGCACCGAGCTGGTAATTAGAATGATGCGGGGAACAGAAAGTAAATAGGGGGAGGAGGGGGAGGGGGAAGAGGAAGGAATTAGGAACGCGGGATGCTGTCCCTTCAGAACAAGGACCCAGCACCAGAAGATGGTTAGGGAGTAAACAACTACCCAAACGACAAGCCCAACCGTATGCAGTCGTGAATGCCGCGTTGTGGGTACCGCTTTCGGTAGATATCCTTGTGAACCCTCGAAGCGCGTGAGGGGTGTGCCGTAGTGAGTTGGAGGGACGCATGCGGCCTTCGGTGGAGCTCCTTGTGGGGCCACGAAGCGCTGTACAGGGTTGGGGAAACGCATGCCGCCGCGGCCACTCGGGCCTTCGGTGGAGCTCCCTATGGGGCCACGAAGCGCTGCACTGGGGGGAGGGGGAGACACATGCGGCCGCGGTCACTGGGGACTTAGGTGGCTTTCTCTATGGGGTCGCGAAGCGATATGCTGGGTGGGGGAACCGCATGCCAACATCGCCGGTGAGGTGTTCGGGTGAGGTGTTCGGTGGCGCTTCCCATGGGTCACGAAGCGCTGCTCTGGGTGGGGAAGACGCATGCAAACTTTGCCGCTGGGGCGTTCGGTGGAGCTCCCTATGGGGCCACGGATTGGGGGGGGCGCGTGCGATCTTTGCCACTGAGGCCTTCGGTGGAGGACCGTACGGGGCCATGAAGCGCTGTACTCGGTGGGGGAGACGCCGGGGATCGTCGCCTCTCCCTATGGGGTCACGAGTCGGTGTTCTGGGTGGGGGAGACGCGTGGGCACGTCGCCTCGAGGGCCTTCGGTTTGGGCCTCCTACGGGGCCACGAAGCGTTGTGCTGGGTTGGGGGGACGCATGCGAACGTCGCCTCTGGGGGTGTTCTGTGGAGCTGCCTATGGGGTCACGGAGCGCTGTGATGTGGGGGGGGGGCACGAAACGCAGTGCTGGGTGGGGTGGGGGGACGCATTCGAACGTCGCCTGATGGTTGACATGCGGAGGGCACGGGCAGGGACGAGAAGAGGGAGCAGGAGGAACAAGAAAAGGAACGAGGAAGAGGAGGAGGAGGCGCAGGAGCAGAAGGAGGAACATGGAGAGCGGCGCGGGACGCTGGCAGTGGGAGGCGGGGGGTCGGAGAGAGGGCATGATGACGAGGGGAAGGATGAAGAGGTAGGAGGAGGAAGAGGCGGAGGTAGCAGCGGGGGGGTGGGAGGAGAAACAGGTTGGAGGATGGGGAGGGGGAGGTGAAGCAAGACAGGGCCAGCTGGGAGGTCCATCCTAACAGCTGCTGGACCTTCCAAGGAAACCCTCAGCGAAGCGCGGCAGGTTCGAACACCTCCCCGCCTCCTCAACCTCTGCTACGAAGATTTCCTTGACATATCGAAGGGCTCGTTCGCACCTTCGCCCCGGGCTTCGTATCTGGCTCGCGCCTTAGCGCCGCGCACATCCGTCTTCAATATCTCCAGCAGCTGTACCGGTGGAGGGCGGGCCGATTTGCCAGTGTGGCTCTCGCCCTGGCGTCCCGCAGCCGGGATCGCGATCGGCCTGGGCGGTCGGCGTGGCCGCCGTTGCCGGGCCGCGGACACCGTCGACAGCGCCGTCGTTGCCGCCAGCACCGTCGTCGTCGTCGCCGCCGCCGACACCGCCGCCGACACCGTCGTCGTCGTCGTCGTCGTCGACGACGACGCCGGCGTCGTCGACGGCGTCCGCGCGCCGGGGCCCCCGCCGCCCGCGCGCACGGAGCAACGGCTCCCGCGAGGGCGGCCGCGGGCATGGCGCGGGCAAGCGCCGGCGCGCGCGCTCGCGGCGAGGGGCTCCACGCGGGCCGCTCGCCCCTGCGGCGAGGGCGAGGAGGTGGTGGAGGTGTTGTGCTTCACTCCTCCCTCCATCCCTCCCTCCCTCCCTCCCTCCTCTCCCTTCTCCTTTCTCATTTCTCCTCTCTCTCTTCTCTCTCCTCCTCCTCCTCCTCTTCTTCCTCCTTCTCCTCTTCTTCCTCCTCGGCAATTCCACAATACGAGCATTACTCTCCCCTCTCCCCCGAAGATGTCCCGAGAGAGTGGCCGCTCCCCTCTCCGCGTACGCATCTGTTGTACACATGCTGTGCGCGAGTTCGCGTTTCTTTCGTGATTTCTCAATCCGATCCCTCCATGTCCTGTTTTCCTTTCTTACGCAAGATTTGCGCGAAGTCGCTCTTCACCTGGTTGTTGACCATCCGATTGTTCACAGACCTTCACACATGGTACCCTTGCCGCAGCGTAGGCCTAATTTTCGCATCGGCGCTGTGCTCCCGTTGTTGAGGATGGCGCTGCCGCCCAAGCGCGGGCAATTTTTCTGGATCCCACAGGTCTCGCAGGCACCACAAGTCCCACAGGTCCCACAGGACCCACTAGTGTCGTGGGTCGCCCCACAGGTCCCACAGGTCCAGTCCGACGGACTCCACACGTCCCACAAGTCCCACATGTGTCGCAGGTCTCGCATGCCCCACAGGTTCAACAGGTCCGACAGATCCCAGAGGTGTCGCATGTCCCACAAGTCCCACATCAATTCCTCAAGTCCCATAAGTCCAGCAGGTCCCGTCGGTGCCACCACGGGTTCCACAGGTCTCGCAGGTCTCAGAGTTCCCTCAGTTCCCACAGGTCCCACATGGGTTGTAGGTCTCACATGCTTCACAGGCCACAGTGGACCCCAAGTCCCACAGGTCCCACACGTGTCCCTTTTCCGATTGTGCACAGCACGAGGGGGTCTGTTGTGGAGTTCCAGGTCGGCTATGGCACGCGTTCGTGGAAAGACAAACACATCAGCGCAATGGAAAAGGGATGGGGTGGAGGGATAAGATGCCAGATATGGCGCGAACGTACCCAGTCTGTCCCTCCCTCTCTCCTTCCCTCCCTCCCTCCCTCCCTCCCTCCTCATACTCCTCCTTGGACGTCTCTTGGGCCGTCTCTTAGGCTGTCTTGGGGGCCTCTTGGGCCGTCTGAAACTCTTGGGGATCTCTTAGGCTGTCTTGGGTGCCTCCTGGGCTGTCTTGAGGCCTCCTAGAGGTACTGGGGAGGGTATCAAGGGGGCCGATGGTCTTGAGGTGGGCGGGGCCCCTTTGGTGGGTGCCCCCGCTGCCACCGCCACGCTTGCCAAAACTGCCATGGGCACCGATTGTTTTGCAGAAGTCCCGGAGCGCTCTTGGCGAGGCGCAACTGCCGAAAAGCGCACTGAGGCGAGAGAATCTTCAATCACCAACGAAATCCTCGGAAAACCCGCCCAATTTCTCAAAATGGATCCCTGGACCCCTCCTGGGGTCCACGCGCAGGAGTGCTTCGAGCTGCGTCATGCCTGCGCTGGCGGGCGAGGGCGCGGTTGGCAGCGATGCGAGAGAGCTGCTCGTCGCTGAGGAGGGGGGGCGAAGGAGTCGGAGGAGGCGGCGGCGGTAGCAACAGCAGCCGAGGGGAGAGAGAAGGGGAGTGCCCCAAAAGGGCTTCGGCGGCGGCTTCGTCCTCTTCCAAACCCGAGGGGAAAAAGGGGAGAAAAGGGCAACTCACGAGCAGGAGTCGGGGCAGGAGTCGGATCACAAGTAGGGTCGTCTTGATTCTGCGTCGAAGCTTCGGGAATGGTGCCATCGTCGTCGCCTTGAGATTCGGAAGTTGGGTAGAAACGATGTTTCTCGGGATCAGCTCTGGATGTTCAACCAGTGGGTTTAGCGAAATCGGGGGCAGGAGCGGAATCGTCGTCAACCTCGGGCACATAGAAACGCCAGAGACCCTCCGTGAGCGATGCATCGTCCGATGGAATGTAGTCGGCATCGCACTGCTCGGCATAGGTTCTGTCGATGGCAGCGGCGATGGCGGCAACAAGGCGAGCGCGCATCTGGGCTGGGGAAACCTTCTTGGCACGTGTACGGAACACCGTCTTACCCATGTGCCGTGTTTTGCCCCTCAACACCAGGTGGGATCCTTCAGGGTGGTGGCGCCAGCCGCGCTTGAAAGTGTCTTGGAGACTCTGAGTTAGACGCTGCATTCGGAGCCCCAGGAGCCTTGTAGGGGGCTTCCCAATGGTGGCGGGATCCGCCGTATCGTCGTGATGCACGCATTGGTCGAAGTCCGCCGTGACCACGGAAGGGGGACTGCATGTGGGCCTCCAGGGGGCTCCCGCTGGAAGCGATTGGGCGCCCGTGGTCTCCAAGACGCTGGGAGCGGATGCTCCATCCACCCTGAGGTCCCCACCACCGCATGCCATTTCAGGAGATGCACCAGATTTTGTGGCAGGGCCCCTCCACCGTGTAACTGAAGCGCCTGTCTCTCTGTGGTCCAAGGTGCTCCCCCAAAACCAGCCGTGGCTCCTGAGCGGGGGGGGGGCCTGTCCAACCACCGAGCTGCACTCCAGGTTTCGCAGGGCCCCCCCTGTTTTCCAAACCCTTCTGGCCAGAATGTGGTCGCCCAACTTTGTCAAGGCCCCCAAGATCGTCATCATCACTATGTCCACGCATAACATCGCATTGTGATGCTGGGGGCGTACGTGATCTTTGGCAATCCAGCGCTGTGCATCTCCGGTCCGCCTGCGGCCCGAAAAATGTTTAAGCGCGAAGATCTCCGTGAAGTAAGATCCTGCGTAGAACGTGCTCAGCTGCAAAGAGACGGTAGTCCTGCGTGCGGTATCTGTAGTGCCTGCCTGCATACTGTGGACCTTCTGGTGGGAGTTGAGCTGGGGGGGTCCTCGAAGAGGGCTTTGTGGGAGGCCAAGGTCTCTGGTGTGATCTCGTAGGCGTTCTCCTGGAGAAGGTGCCGGGCTTCCGTTTCCGCAAAGAGAGCAGTCGCCAACTTTGCCGAGGGGAACAGTCCGTCCTCGGGGTAACTGACGCCGGCAGGAGGTGCTGCCCTCCCCCGGCCAAGTCCCGCCTTCACTTGGGCACGGTGCGAGGCCGAGTCCTCTGCGCAAAGTGCCTCCGCGCGTTCGGGAGGGGCCGTGGCGCCGTGCATCGTGTAGGCAAGCTGGCAAAGCGGAGCATCAAACGCCACGTGGTCGCGTAGGAGACTGCGAACAGAGCAGGACATGGAGCATGCCGTGCATGTGCTGCCCTCCCCCATAAACCTGTTGACGATATGCTCCTGGCTATAGTGTGCTTGTGCTATGTGTTGCCGTATCCCCTCAGCAGTGTCCCCCAAGTAGTCACGCCGCATGCATCGTAGGTAGGAATTGGGCTCCTTGGGGGGATGGGGAGGATGATCGGCACTGGAACTCCTGCCGGCCGTGCAAGCGCAGAGAATGCTTGCTGAACGTGGACGGCAACAACTGCGTGCAATCGCGCGCGCATGTCACTGGGGCGCTTCATTCAGCGCCTGCTTCAATGCCGGGAGGGATTGCAAAATGCGTGTCTCCCAACTGGCAAAGTCGTCTGCCGGATCCTCCATGCGTCGGTAGCGGTGGTGAACCTGTCGGGGCCATTGTTGGTCCTCAATCACCCTGTGCATCCATGAATTGTTATGTGTGCGAGCCGTGCGATACACGTTTGCAACCAGGCTGCGTAGCGCAAGCGTGCCGACATGAAGTAGACGACCGAGCAACTGAAAACGATGGACACGCAAGACAGTACGTATATCGTCCCGTTCAACACGGGCGAGTCTGTAGCTGTCTGGGTCGGTGTGGTCGTTCTGGTATGGCGTGCGTAGTATTTGCCGATCCTGGTTGACCATGCAGAGTCGATTAAGAATCTGGAGAAAAGTCGTGCTTCTGTGAAGTAGAGTGCTGCTGCTCGGGGAATGTGCTCGGCGGAGGCGAAGATGCGTCGTCGGAAAAGCTGACCGGAAGAGCGAATCGACATTTCGCGATGAGCGAGTTCGGGCTCTATGGAGCCAACCTAATCTAGCTGGGTACCGAAATGGGGATACGGCCGAACCGCTGTTAGAGTAAACTCTCCCAACATGTCCGATCGCATGTCGCATTGGCCCTGGCGGTCGCGCCGCAACTCACGTTTGGCAACTCTGGCCCCAGGGCCACGTAGCTGAAACAAGACCTCTGTTTTGCCCGCTGCAAAGTTGAAGCGCAGGCCTCGGCGCACAGAGCTGGTGGCCACCACCTCGGCAACCAAAGGCTCAGCTGGCAGGACAGCTGAGGTGGGTCCTATGACCACGATGGCACCGTCGTCAAACAAATCGCACGTCGAGGCCGCCGCGCACCGTGTCGGGCGCCTGATGCATTGTGTCGGCCATGGTGCTGTGTAGTGCGATCGGTGTCCTGAGATCAAGCTAGATCTTGCGCAAACCCTGCTGTGCCTCTTGTATGCGTGCTGCCATGACATACTTGAAGATCACATCCCCCGATTGTTGTCCTGGCGCCGCCCCTTCAGGTTTGCGTGCTACAGCAGGTGCCCCAGGGTGCCAGAACCAGCTGCCTGTGTAACTGGGGGCTTTACGGGCCCTGAGATGTCTAGAAACGACTGCTTGCTGCAAGAGGGAATGGCAAGCGTGGCGACGTGGGTCTCCAGGTCCTCGATGGCCTCTGGGGGGGGGCCCTGCTGTTTCGAGGAACAATTTGTCGAACGTGCCCACTTGCATCGCGAGTTCCCTCGCCGCCAGGTAAAACGCCGAAGCTGCGTCCAGCGCGAAGAACCGGGCGGAAAGCTTGAGCGCGGAGGCAAGCTCCTGAAAAGAATGTAAGGCGAGGGCCGCATGGTCGACTCCTCGCCCTGCTATCCCGCCGTGCTGCGAATCGCCTGCAAAGTCTGGCAGCGCCGCTACATGTTGCACCACTTAAGTATTATGTCAGCATCCCTCCCCCCAACTTGGCCACACAACTTCTGTCGACCGAAAGGTGACGGACATTCCTTGGCTTCAAACCTACAAGAAGCAATTGAAATTACATGATTTGGGCCCCTTTGGCCACTTGGGGGTCCAAGAAGAGGGCGTCAAGAGGGCTCAAAATGGCGTCAACAAGGGCCAAGACAGCCCAATGTGGCCCCAGGAGAGCCCAAAGCGCGCCCCAGACGGCCCAAGAGGACCCCCAAGAGCGCCTCCAGAAACCCTAATCATTGATCTTTTTAGGGTTTTTGCAAGATGATCGCATTCTGTTTGTTCGACCCTCGCAGGCCCATGACGGCCCAAGCAGCCTCCAAAATGGTCCCAAGACGGCCCCAAGATGTTCCCAAAAGACCCCCAAGACGACCCAAGAGGACCCCAAGAGAGCCCCAAGGCGGTCCGGAGAGGCCCCCGAGACGGCCTTCGAAGGGGCCAGACGACACAAAAACGCCCCAAGACGGCCTAACAGGCCCCCAAACGGCCCCGAAGAGGCACCCAGGGGCTCCCAAAAAGCCTCTGAGAGGCCTCCAGGAAGCCACCACACGGCACCAACAGCTGCTATGCTCATCGGAATTTGAGCTTTGAGTTGCCTCGCGCTGACGCGCGCTCTCAATGCCCTCGTGGACTTTCGCACGCTCGTCCCCGCGCCGAATCGGGGGGGGCGCAGCAGCCCCCCGTGGCGCTGGCAGCGCCCCGGGGCGGGCAGGGCAAGCCACCCGATGCTCAAGCGCAACGTGCTCCAGACGTGTACCCCGCGAGGCGGAGAGGAGGCCACGTCCGGTTGGCGACGAGCTCAGCGGCAGCGTTTCCCGCGAAAGCTAACATGCACTAGATATATACTGTGCCAGATGCTATTTACCGTCGCAGGTCACATTATTATGTTATGACCCTATCGTATAATGTAGCCCCCCTAATTCCGCAGCCGTTTGCGACACGCTCCTTTTTTGACTCTCGCCAATACATTATACACGTGCCTCTGCGGCTCGCGCGCTCCAGAAAGGATTCTCTTCGGCGCAGAGCCCTCGTGTCTTGAAGGCGCCAAGACGTCTTGGCATACAACTTGAGCCCGTCGCACTCGCTCAAGCCTTCTGCGGCAAATTCATGGGGCGCATCCAAAATTTCGAAGCCCTGAGAGCGCGCGCTCTGCCGGGAGATGTTCCACAGAGTGTTTCCCTCCCACTGCGTGCCTTCCTTTCTTTTCGAAGCGGATGCCCAGGCGGGGTCGACGGGCGGCAAGGGCAACACCCAGTGGGAAGCGAGGTTCGACCCCTCAATAGCCTGGCCGCCTGTGACCTTTGACGACATCCGCCCACTGAAAAACAAGAAAGGGAAGTCAATGCAAAGAGGTTCGTAGCCCATATCGTGATACAACTTGGCAAATATAGGCTTCTTGTTGCGCGAAGTGTCTAACGCTGGCAAGTCAAACTCACGACAAAACAACACGTAATATGTCAGCATGAGCTTCACGAGGCCGCGGCCTCGATGCTCGGAACCGATGTGAAATCCGTGTAGTGTCCCTGAGGCGGCTTCAAAATATAGAAAGCCACACTCTTTGCCTTTTGGCTTGCCCTCCGTCAAGTTATTCGAATAAAAATGGAGCAGGATGAAGCGCTCCTTGTGGGCAAGCATGCGCTTTCGGTGCACGAAGACCTGCACTGTTTCAGAAGGCAATTCTTCTCGTGAAATGCTCAACGCACCAAACAGAAACTGCTTACCCAACTGCTGCAACTCCTCTTTGCCAGGACGCTGCTCATGCTGCCGCTGCGGCCGTCCTGCAGCAGATGGCGCCCTGGACTCTCGCCGTGCGTCCTGGATCCATGCCCTCAGCGAAGACGCAACAGCTACCGGACACGGATCGGGGAACGGCGGTTCCTTGCGCGCGAGCCTCAGACTGCCGACTTCGGTGCGGAGGTCGAGGCCATCGGACGGTCCGTCGCCAGACGACGCTGCGGCCGCCGAGTCGCTCTCGCGACAGGAGCCCGCCGAGAGGCGGCGGCGCCTCGAGCGCAGCAACCCCAAGAGAGGGGCCAGGAACCACTGGGCCAGGCCGCCCTGCGCGGTGGCGCTGCCGGCGCGCGCCTCCAACTGCTCCGATCTCCGATGGCTGGAGGCACTGGACAAGAGCCTGTGGAGGGCTGGGAGCCAGTGGCACAAGGGGTGCTCGGCTGGCGGCACCGCCGCTGCAGAGGCTTCCCGGAGCAGGAGCAGACTCGCAGCGCACACGAACACGCCCCCACAGGTCAAGAGGGCAGGTGCAGCACGAAGTCCGACCAGGTCAAGGAGACCCCGGGGAGAGCCATGCGAGCGAACAACCAGCAGCACCCCCATCGGGCCAACTGGAAGAAGTAACTCAGTACCGCGCCGCATGCCACATGTGAACGACTCAGGGCGGCGGTTGCGAACCTGCCTCGAGTCAAAACAGCTGCAGACGCTTGCAGTTCTGCACACGACGAAACAAGGGCGGGCCCAGGGAACTGTACGCATACAAGGACAAGTAAACCGAAGGAGCCATCCCTCCAGGGCCAACCATCCCAAATACCTATACGACCACCCTTCGGGTGATAAGGAGGCTGTTTTTTTTTTGGGGGGGGGGGAGCAACTGATGACATCTGCGATGGGTACCGTCGGGAAACTGGGAACAAATAAGTGCTGCCATCGGGATCCCAGCAAGATACCATCGGGACACCATCGGAACACCATGGTGGTCCATCCGTCCACTATTTCTCGATCGATCTCACTATTGGCCTCACTACAAGTCTCGCTATCGATCTGGCTACCAATCTCACTATCAATATCCCCACCTGTTTATCGACCTCACTCCCAATCTCACTATCGATATCACTATCTGTTCTGCTATCGATCTGATTATGTTTCTGTTCACTATGTTTTGTCGATCTCACTATCGGTTTCAAACTCGATTTAACGGTCTCACGATCAACCGCACTCTCTAGCTATCGGTCCCAATATCTGTTTATTGATATCGCGATTGATCTAACCACCAGTCACTCTAACACTCTGTTAGTCTCACGATCACTTGGTCTCACTATCCATCTCACAATCGATCATCGATCCCACTAGTTATCTATCGATCTCGCTATCGATCGATCTCACCTCAATCGATCTCACAATATACTGATCTATCGATGTCGGAACAACCATCGGGGCACCATCTGGACACCGTCGGGGCACCATCTTGACACCATGTGGACACACCATGTGGACACACCATGTGGACACCATGTGGATACCATGTGGATACCATGTGGACACCATGTGGACACCATGGTGTCCTCATGGTGTGGCCAGTCTTAGACAGCGTTTTTGGCCAGTCTTGGCCAGCTTTTTGGCCGCCCGAGCGGTTTTCCCCAGGATCCTGATTCAGAGGGCCCTCCTTGATAGTCCCTTGGGGTCTCGAAGCAGTAGCAACATCTACTCCGAGGTCACGCGCAAACAAGTCTACTTTGAACTGCCAACCCAATTTGTGGATATTCTTCTTTCCGCTCGAACTGATGGTGAGCTGACCAGACCTACTGGCTCCTTGAAGATCCGAAATGTCTTGTCTTTCATACCGGCGGTGAGAGTGATCGCGACTGCCGTGGCCTGGTCCAAGGCTCCTGATGCCGTTCCAATGTTCAGCTGAGCAAGATGATCCCTTCCAGCTACCGATGGTATTCTGCGGAGGAGGGTGGCTACGATGTACCTCCCCTTTCCCGTTCCCCCATTCCCCATTACCCGTCTAGCCCCTCATGGGCGAGGATGACAAGGAGGAGTTGGAGATGGACTGAGCAAGGGGAAACCATAAGGGAGAAGGAGGAGCAGGGAGAGAGGAGCGTGAGGAAGAGAAACGAGGAGGGTGGAGGTGGGGAGGAGAGTGGGGGAAGGAGGAGGCTGAAATATGAAACAAAAGGACGACACGAGGACGTGACCCCCCCCAAACATCCGACGACGTGACTTGTTCAAGACTCTTTCCCGGGAATGCTCTATCTTCTCGGACCCCTCTTTGATGGCCCGTGGGCGCGCCAAGCAATTCCGGGATTCAACAGACCATGACGTCGGAGGTCTCAGGAGAGCCCATAATCGAATCGATACGTCGGATCGGCGATCGAAATGAATCGGATCGGCGGAAATCGGCAGCCGAGTCGGGAAAAGTCGAATCGGTGGACATCGGCAGGCCAGAATGCCTCCGTGAGGAGATCGGAGCCCACGTCGGAATCCCAAGGCGAATCGCATCGGAAGCGGAGGCCATCGAATCGAACTCGAGCCGAAGCGAATCGAAGGAATCGAAACGAGCCCCGAGGTCCAGGATCCCCCTGCCGGGCGAGTCGCAGGAGCGCGGCAGGCGGCTGTGCGCGCCGTGCGGCTCGAGCGGGAGGCGGCGAGCGACTCGAGCGACTCGAGCGCCGAGCGCAGCGCGCCCGTCGCCCTCTCTGCAGGCGCCGCGCGCTGGCAGGCCGAGCCCACCAGGACGAGAGGTCACGATCGTTCCCGCCCTTTGAAGGGACCCTGGGACACACAAATAAAAACACACAAATAAACAGATTCCCCGTATTTTCCTATATTTTCTGGGTTTTTTCCTCTCCTGACCCTTGTCCTCCCCTGCCCACACCCGCCGGGGTGGAGCCACGCTCGTGGGCATGGCGCGGGGGCTCCTCGGCCACCTGCAGATCTGGTTCTCGCGCTGTCAGTGCTCTGCTCTCCTAGGGCTCTGCAGCGTCGTCCGCACCTTGCTTCTGTATGTCCGAGCTCCGTAGCTGCCTGCACGCCCTCCAGTGCTCAGCTGCGTTCTTGCTCTTATGGACGCTGCGCAGGCCTGACGAAGCTTGAGAGGTCCCCTTCCAGTGTGTGCTCGTCCTCGTGTGCCTCTTCCCTTTCTCCCCATGTCGCCTCGGGATCTCTGGGAGGGTCGGGAGGTTCTGGCCGGGGGCGGCGGAGGGGGGGGGGGCAGGTCAACCCTTCAAAATGAGTAGGGCGCCCTCCCTGCTTCAACACCGACCCCAAGACATATCCCGAAACGCTTCTTGGAGAGAATTTCGAAGTGCATCCAGCCTCTGTGGCGAGAACACCCCAGGAGGCCAAACATGCACCAAACACGTTGACTATCATCCAACCTCGAACATCCTCATCCTCCTCGTCTTTCTTGTCGGCTTCTGAGCAGGCCTGTCAAAGGCAGGGGGGCTTCCAAGGCGGCGTGCCTTCTCATAGGCCGCCCCCCTCGTGTTGCCCTTTCGTGTACGTGGCAAAACTGCCCTCTCCTCTGCGCTAAAGTCGGAACGTCTCCCCCTTCGTTCTAAGCCCCCTGGGATGAGGCCCGTGGGACCACTCCAGGACATCATCGAACTCCCCTCTCATGTGCTTCCTTCTGATGTGCTCTCCGAGCCCCGTCCGACGTCCAAGCAGAACGCGTCACGAAGGATCTATTCAGGCGAGCCGCTTGGTTTTGAGAGGTGTCGAGCTCCTGCAAGCTTCCACGCGCTGGTGTGCTCAGGGCTTACTGCATGCACTGCGCGTGGCACCGATCATCCCTCCTCCCCCCGCACGCGCTTCTTTTTCGCAAGATGATCCAAAATGCTCCTCAATGATCCCCGCCGGGAAAAATCCACATGTCCGAGCCATGCCAAGCCTCCTTATCCTCTTCTCTGCCTCCTCTCTCCTCCCCTCCATACCCCTGCTCGTCGTCGCTCTCCTCCCAACGACCTCACCAGGGGCGCGTCCTGACTGGAATTTCGAGGCGGATCAGCCGCGGTGGCGAGAACGCCCCAGGATGCCGAACGCGGCTCGGAACCGTACACGCCGCCTGATACTCGAAACTTCGAACATCAATCTACTCTTGACCCCCGAGACGGGAACTTGGGACGAGCTTGAAACATGGAAATCGGCAACATACGACCACAACTCACCCCCTAGATATTCCTCCTCCTCCTCCTCCTTCTCCACTCATCTGATACTTCACCCGTCTTTATCCTCCCCTTATCCTCTATTCCTATTTCTCGTGCCAGTTTCAGCTCCTCATCCTCTCTCTCTCAATCTCTCTCTCTCTCTCTCTTTCTCTCTCTCCTCTCTCTCTTCTCGCGATGAGGATGTGGATGTCCGATGGCCCCGGTGCAAGCAGAAAGCCTTGCACCTGCAGCCGAAGGGAAGAGGATGAAGAAGAACGGGGCAGGGGGTGTAGGGGAATTGGGCAGGAAGGGAGGAGGAACAGGAGGGGTAGAGGGATAGGAGAGTAGAAATCAGAGGGGAGAATGGATATTGCGAGGGGATGGGGGGAGGAGAGGACGGAGGAATAGGTGAGGGGAAGTGGCGAATAAACAGGGTGAAGAACAGGAGGAGGTAGATAAAGGGAGAAGGATGATGATGATGATGATGATGATGATGATGATGATGATGATGATGATGATGATGATGATGATGATGATGATGATGCTGATTATGATGATGATGATGATGATGCTGCTGATGATGATGATGATGCTGATGATGATGACGATGATGATGATTATGATGATGATGATGATGAGGAGGAGGAGGAGGAGGAGAGGAGGAGGCGGAGGAGGAGGAGGAGGAGGAGAGGAGAGGTGGGAGGGGGAGGGAGGGGGGGTGGGCAGGGGCAGGAGGGGATGGAAAACAAGAATGACGCGAGGAAAACACAAGGAGGAGAGGAAGAGGTGGTGATGGGGGGGAAAAGGAAGGAGGGCGGGTAGAGATGAGGGGGTTGGGAAAGGCAGGTGAGGAAGGGGGAAGATGATGAAAGGAGGAGACGAAAACAATACCTGCGAGGCGGGGATTTGTCCGTCCGTGGATCGATCTTCCGGGACCTCGGCAGGCGGTGGCATGTTCGGGCCCTGGGGGAGCCAACCATATCTATATCCACCTCCCGCCGAGGTCCCAGGAGATCGATCCCCCAGGCAACGCCATGGGGAGGAGGGTGATTATGATGCAGGTGTGGCTAGGCGCACAACCACGGCGGGGCCGCGCTGAGGCTCCCACGTGCGCGAGCCGTACGATGGTCTCGAAAGACCTGGCGCACACTGGGAAGAGACGGGGGACGAGGAGGAGGAGGATGAGGAGGAGAAGGGATCCGTAGCCATTGTGGCTCAAACCACCAACCGCCAAGAGATCGAGGGGTGTAAATGGCAATTTGCCGACAGGCCACGATAACCTGAGCTCTCTTCATCCCTCACCCATTCCACCTTTAATCTCGACACCTTTTACACTCCGTTTCGTCTACCTCCTGCATGATCCCCCTCAGGTTCGCCAGAGCCATGGCACAGGGGGGCTGCCCGAACCCGTGGCGGCCCTCAAGCACCCGATCCCAAGAAACGACGACGACGACGACGACGACGACGACGACGACGACGACGACGACGACG